AAAAATATTGTTTGTGGCTATATATTTTTTACAGCTCCGACAAAAATGGCATGTCAATTTTGTTACAAAATTCCGTAAACAATTTGCTGTTCAGGGATACCTCATGAGCATAAAGCAACGATGAAAATTTTTCGTTAAGCTATGGGAGGTTAACCTAGGTCCATGCTACAAGAAAAAGTTGTTACTGATTTCTAATTCTTTATCTTTGGAAAGTTTCAGGCTCTCAAAGGGCCATTTAGGTATTTGGTCATAGTTAAAAAAACCAGTGCCATATCCTGTATAAAAAAACTCAAAATCAGACAAACATAGGCCTACACAACACTTTTACAAAAATTCCTCTTTCTTGATTGTTTGGTGATTCAAAATGTTGAAAGATAGATAGCTGGAAGAAAGTAGATTTCAGGAAATGCTAACAAATAAATTTGATCAACCTGACCAAATACACCATTGTTGACACCATGCAACTTTTTGTTGATTTTCTGGTTTGGGGTTACAAATTTGAGCTTCAAATAGTATCAAAAGAGATATTGGCAGTTGAGATACACTCAAACTAGTGACAAAGAAAAGGGATTTGTGAATAGACTAGTCCCCACTTCTGTAATTGCTCGAAGTAGAATGTGGCACACAAAACCCAAGTCAGACTTGTGTTCAGTACGTCATGTTTTATTTTGTTCGTTGTTCTTATTCTTACTTTTTACCTGATAACTCCTAGAATGCTGGGTGAAATTCAGGAGTTTAAATACTGAATCATTAAACTTGAAAGAATAGAAATTGCTTTGAGACATTAATTTTTTAAGCTTATCACAATAGTGCAGAAGTGATTGAATGAGATTGAATGAAATATTCCAGTTTTTTCACAAACACCAATCGGAAATAACTCCACCAGGTCAACCCCCAGGTCAGTCCTCTGACGTGATGCGGGATCCCGCTTTGTCGGAGTAAAATCCAGAACCAGAACCAGAGAACCAGATCAAATTTCTCTTGAATCTCTAAAACTTTTGTGATCTTTGGTATTTAAGGGATTTTAAAGGAATAAACTGACTTTAGGCCATATCTGCAAGGAAAGGTGGTGATAAATGTGTGTTTCTATCCAATGAAGCATAGCTCGACACTAAGAGGAGCCTGGGACACATGTAGGTGCCTAAAATCCTGACCCCCATAATTTTGAATTTTTACATAGGGTTCATGCATACAGACTATAAAAATGTCAATCTGGACTCCCTAAACGAAGTTAGCATGGAGCTCTGAATTAAGGCCAGATCACAAATAAACCTAACTGCGACATGTTTTACTGGTGCCAGGTAAAAATGTCAGAGGTAAAAATGTCAGAGGAAAAAATGTCAGAGGAAAAAATGTCAGAGGTAGAAATGTCAGAGGTAAAAATGTCAGAGGTAAAATTGTCAGAGGAAAAAAATGTCAGAGGTAAAAATGTCAGAGGTAAAAATGTCAGAGGTAAAAATGTCAGAGGTAAAAATGTCAGTCGTAAAAATGTCAGAGGAAAAAATGTCAGTCGGAAAAATGTCAGAGGTACAAGCAAAAAAATTAGCAAAGTGTTTCGTACATGTCCTGAGGATAATACAATGTGGAAAATAGATTTTGAAATTTATTTTGTTGTGATCAGGCTTGCATATAATGAATGTCTAACATTTTTTGATATTTTGATTTGGTTGATGTGTTAATGTTTGTGAAACGGACCGGTTTGGCCGGTGGCAGCCTGCAACATAGCCCGTGTAACGTTCCAGAGACGAACAAAGTCCAAACGAAGAAATGAAAATTCTCGACAAAAGTCAAGTGTTAAAGTGAGTAGTGCATTTAGTACAAAATAGTTACATAATCCCGAGGAATCACGAAAAGTTACATATAAGGGCTGGGCGCCCCGAACTCTGCTAAAGCTTTAGCACCTAATGGCGGCAAAGGAAGTGGAGTAAGAATAAGAAAATCAAGAAGTCGCTCCGAAAAGTAAAAAGTCGCTCCGAAAACTAAAAACCCGCTCCAAAAAGTAAAAGACTGTCTCGATTTAGAAGCTCATCCCCATTTTAAACTCTCCGACAATTATAAATAACGATGTCATTTAAACCGAACCTCTGCAAAGCGCGCACTTCTCTAAAATGTGATGGTGCGGTTGGCATTTAAAGATAAAGTTGAGTTCTGGCCTTGCGAAGTTGCATTGTGAAAGAAACGGTGTGGAAGCAATCAGAAAAGGTTGATCATCTAGCATAAACATGTAAGTATTGGTGTGTAGTGCAAGGTTTTGGAGTCATCAAAATGATAAAATCTTTGGCTCAGTCTTGGTAAAGTAACAAGCACTGTACACAGAAAGATATTGATATGGGACTACACAAACATATTATGGCATACAAATCGGGCCTCATTTTAAAGCTGTTACTTGTCATATCTGGGATATGAAGTCATTTGAAATAGATTTTCAAGGAATAACTTTTTTCTTTGATGTTCTTCCACACTTGCATAATAAGAATGATAACAAACGCTCACATTATTGTTCACTTTTCCCCAGAACTCAACCTTCTCTTTAATTGATGTAACGTGGGCGGCTTTCTGCTTTGTATCGGAGTAACAAAGCTGCTTATTGATTTTTCCCAGACTATTTTATACCGCAATAGTAATCGACAATATTTTATTGCAACGTGCGCACTTCGGGAATGTGATGGTGCGGTTAGCACTGATAACATGGCTTTCTGCTTTGTTTCAGCATGGACCCTACTTTCAGAGTATCAAAATACCAAGCCCACAAGAAAGTGGAATTGTCGGAAATATGCATTTATTGGAAATTACATATAATAGTAGTCATTGCCACGCAGTTGAAATGTCCAACAATCTTCAAAAGTGAAGGAGAAGTGGGGGGGGGGGAAGGTTCATAGATATCTGATCCTATTTTGTGGGCTGTACTGACTTTTCTTTTTATTTAATGATTACACCATGGAGCGACAACTCAGCCTATAAAACATGGCCAAACTTCTCGATTTTAGAAATCTTTCCCCCCGGAAGTTTGCTCAGTGTACCAGTACCATTTGCTTATACAAAAGCATAATATACCGGTAAATAAATATTGAACTAGGCAGAATAATGGGACATGCATGGTTGCTACTCCGAGTTTCATGCCTTGCAAGCGATCATCAGACAAATTACTGATAGCATTCATCAAAGTACATGATTCCTCTACAACCTTGGTACAAATACGCTCAAAATAAGAGCTATACAATACATGCATATCCGTCCTCCATTTATTACCACAATTACTTTACTGGGGCCTACAGCCTTACAAGCTTGCTTTCATGTAGGTCCCATCATATTTCTCTTAGTTAAATCACAAATTCATATTGACCACTTATCTTTGTTATTATTATTTGTTATTAAAATAAAAACAATTTTGTACTTCATTTGAAATAAATGTATGTTTATGAGAAATATGAAAATAAATGAAATGAAATGAAAAATAAGACTACAATACCTGAATACAATGCAATAAGAATACTCATGAGTAATTCCAATTGTATTTTTATTAGTTAAGTCTTTAGTCTTTTAGAGGTATTTGTACCAAGGTTGTAGGATAATCATGTACTTTTAAGAATGCTATCAGTTGCCTGATGACTGCTTGCAAGGCACGAAACTCGGAGTAGAAACCATGTCCCATTAGTCTGCCTGCTCTGCCTAGGCATTGACCACTGTTCGGAAGGATATATAAAGCAAAGCATATATATAAGAGGACGGGGAGAGCAGCCGGGTCACCGTGCCCCAGAAGAAGAATACCCTCCCCCCCCCGTCTTCCTTCGGCAATAATCGGGCAAAAAGTCACAATTTTGGGCCGAAAGGTAAATAAATTTAAACTGGGAAAGTGGAAAATAAAGCAGCAGTGAAATAACGACTGCAGAATATCCCTCGCTGTTCTTTTTCGATAAGCCTAATTAAATATATAACCCGGGTGTAATTATAACAAGCTTGTCACATGCTTTTGTTTTTATTGTATACCTCTAACATTTATACCTCTGACATTTTTACCTCTGACATTTTTACCTCTGACATTTTTTCCTCTGACATTTTTACCTCTGACATTTTTTCCTCTGACATTTTTACCTCTGACATTTTTTCCTCTGACATTTTTACCTCTGACATTTTTACCTCTGACATTTTTACCTCTGACATTTTTTCCTCTGACATTTTTACACCGAGCCGTTCTACTAAATGAATTTCAAATGGTGTTTAAAAGTTGAAACAAGAAGCTGCCTGCAACAAAGGTCCTACACACGCTCACTAATCTGTTAAAAGATACACCGCCGCAGTGTACTGCGTGAACTATGAACTATGTGAATGAGCCTTTATGCCCAGTCTGACTGAAAAGGGTTATTTTATTGACAAGTTTTTCTGCTCTATGCATGGCCTTCTATGAATGAGAAGTGAGCTAACAGTAATGTTTAAAACAAACATCAAAGTAGACTTTGACCTCATTATCAAACCACTTGAATCATAAAGTTAGTGAGTTATCTATAGGCATGCTTGTTAGCTCAGATTGTTTGTACAAGCTTGAAGAAAACCCTTGACTTTGAGTTTAGCTTTGAAACTCATGTAGATTGTGTTGCATATGGAGATCTTGAAAAGGTTGTTGAAAGGATTATTACCAAGAATTAACTTGAAAGAAAACAAAATTATTATTCAATTTACTGGTATGTTTTCTAATATCAAAAAGGTTTGGAAATTTGAAAAATGTAACAATTTTTCATACCGATAGTAAAAAATTGGGAAAATTTAAATTCTGTAGATAAAGCATTAAAAGAGGTGCACTTGGTAGGTAATTAATCTTGTAGAATGTTAATTAAAAAATTAAAAAACATATTTTCAAATTTACCCTAGAGAGTACTATGTACATGTCCTTGAAAACCAGTTCTGATGTTAAATTATGTTTAAAGGTCCACCTGTCTATGATGACTGCTTTCTTGCCTCTATAAATTGTTCTTTATAGATTTTTTTTCTTTTATCTATTTCAGATCTTAGCGAGATTAGTGGATGGGAGCAGATTCCACGAGTTCAAAAAACTTTATGGACCTACTCTCATTACCGGATTTGCCTTTGTGAGGGGGTAAGTCTTCTACTCTACATATCCAATAAGGTTTTGTATCTATAAACCTGTAATATGTCTATGCAGTACTTCTCTGCAGGGCCCCCATCTTAATTACAAAGAGTTGATATCAATCGCAACTAGGTACATAAGAGACAGGAGACTGCAAACTTGCGATTGATTAGAGGACTTGCGATTGATTTGGATCAATCGCAACTCTTTGGAAGACGGGACCCTGATCTCCACATCATGAAGAAGAATTAAGAGGATTTGAAAAAGGAGATGCGGTTGCAACTTTTTGCCAACGATTCAACACACTTTTTTTCCACACTATGTCTATGTTTGAAGCATGCATGGTTTCTGAGGGGTACAATAATCCGTTTTCTCTCTCTAGAAGAACTATATGTAATTCAACAAATTCTAATGATGAACTATGAAGTCTTTTTCATACATCCGCTAAATTACAAAGTGTCTGTCTTGTCTCTCCGCTAGACACCTTGTGGGAATCACAGCAAACGACGGTGAGCTGTCCCACGATGCCGCCACCAAGGGGGCGCACTTCGCAGAGCTTTGCCAGCATCGTAACATCCCCCTCATCTTCCTGCAGTCGGTGTCCGAGGACGAGAGCTGGGCCAAGGGTGACCACGAGCTGATGGGCGAGACCATCAAGGCAAGGGCCAAAATGGCTGCTGTGGTGGCCTGCATGACGGTGCCCAAGATCACGGTCATGGTGGGAAGCAGCTATGGCTCAAGTAGCTTCGCTATGGTATGCATTATTTGGCAATAATGACTTAAAGGAAAATCCAACCATAAAGTGACTCAGTAACATTGCCTCAGATTCTAAAACAAAATCCTGGATTTAGCTCATGCTGCCATGATAATTATAAACCTTTAGGTCAGTCAGGAAACTCATGACATTTACAAGCGGATCCCCTGTCTGATTATCAAGATACCTATGATTGGAATTAGAAATTTCAGAATTTGTTTTCCTAACGGTTTTCATAACACTACAGTCTTTTGGGGGAAATTAGTATGGTAAAACCCGTCATTCAAAGATTTTTTAATTTTTTGAGGCACTTTATGATCATTTTGAAGCGCAATTTTTTTTTAGGGCTTCAATATTACATCATATCAAAGAAACTGATAACACGTAGGGCCATGCATCTCAGATTTAGCATTGTTAAACGATGCCTTTAAGAGCAACCAATTTTTAAAGTAAGCAGAGCAGAAAATTCACAGAAGTAGGCTGGTGAGAGTTTGAAGTGCCTGGATACGAATGATTTCATTTACCTGGTATAAATAAATGTATTTGAACAGTTGCATTGCAGGCAACATGATTATGTTTGCAATTTGCATTGTAACAGTTTTATGAAATAATTGACATTGAAGCACTTCATGAAAACTTGGTTTTATTACGAAAATGGCTTATTGGAGTAAGATGGCTGCAGAATTGAGATGCAGTTGCATTAATCTCATTTCTAATCATGCATTCTTTTCCCTCCCTTTTTGTTTTTGTGTATGTACAGTGCAGTAGCTCCTTTGACCCTCGCTTTGTATTCATGTGGCCGAATGCGAGAGTAGGACTCCAGCATCCAGAAGAGATGGCAACACTTGCTGCTCAGGTATGTGGCTTCAACTTTCACCGGGATAAACAGATTCTATGATGAGAATATTGTCAGAGGAGTGATGATAAAAACCCTAGAAACTTGAAAATGCCAAATTTTCAGTTGTCTCACATTTGCTCCCCAGGCAATGACTCCATGTCAATTTTCCATACTAATCAATTCTTCACTTCAACCCCGGAACTAACACTATACCTAATCCTAATCGTAACCCTATACCGGTGATGAAATAAAGCCTGTAGCAATTATCGCAAGAGCAAATTGGATCACCAGATTGGATCACCAGAAGTTTCAGAAGAATAACACTTTCATGTTTATTGCAATAAGAATGGTAATGACCTTCTTTATACCGCTTGTGTCATTAGAATTTATTACCCTATTTGACACCTATTATGGTTATCGATGATGCCCTTTAAATAATATATTTTCTTTTGTTTGTATAATTTGTAGGAGTCTGGGAAGCCTGAAGATGAAGAAAAACTAAGAGAAAAATTCCAGAAACAGTCTACTGCCGTCTTTGCCTCAAGCAGAATGTGGAACGATGGGGTCATTGCACCAGAAGATACCAGAAATGTAAGTGCATTGAAATAGCATGTTGAGAGTACCATCGATATCTCCCCAAGTATGCTTGCTTTTAAATTACACAGTTATGTACACTGAGATACAGAGAGAGAGAGGGGGGGGGGGGGGGTGGATGGAGGTGATGGCGATGGGGAAATACTGGATACAAAATTGGAAGAAGTCTTAAGTTTGGAGTTTGATTCTTTGAGACATATTCTGTACATTCTTTCTGTAAATGTGATCTGAAGTTCTGGTAACAATGAAACCTGAACTTTCACAAAAATTAAAACAAGGATGATCATGAAGTACGTAAAAAAGAAATGTGTATTAGTTTAGAGAGCATTTACTCCATAACATGAATTATATTCGACTCTTAATTTGTCTCGTTATAACACATTTTTTCCTAGTTTTTATGGTAGCTCTAAATTCCAACTAAATCAGTGCATCAATTATTATCTGGAAGTGCTTTTTATTGCAGATTGACCAAATTAATAACATTTTTTGTAACACCAGGTTTTGAGCCAATGCCTGAGCATCGTTTCCCAACAAGCTTGCAATCAGCCATTTGCCTATCAGAACAGAGCTGTGCTTCGAATGTGATCCCTCAAGGTGCAGTCATAGGACCCTCATGCTGGTGTGTATTCATGTAATGCATTCCAAAACCCTGCTAGAATGCATTGTGGTTTTACATGTAAGAAATGCTCTGTAACTTTACCCAAGTGCTAATCAAGTGCTACGTTGATATGCTTGGAATGTTTCAAAATTACTGTTTTCCTATTCATATAGAGTTCCAAAGTGCTTACCGGTACATCATATTCACTCGCCTTCATTTACTGGTTCTTAACAACAGTGCCTGCGCAAGAGGTCCATTGCGAAATCATTCAAGCAACTGGCTGGAGCAGGGCAAATTCAGTGTTTGGCGCTGGTGTGATCACCAAACCATTGTTTAGCACCGAGATGTTGAGAACCAGCAACCTTGACCACTTGGCCAGTATGAAGTCACACTTTGGTACTCTATATATGCAATTACTTAATCTCTTGAAATTATGCCTTTCTGTGTATACCTTTTCAGATTTACAAAAATGAAAAAGGCAAAGTGTGTGTGCTTCCACAAAAAAAACCTATGTATCTTATATGATCGAATGCAGCAAGTGTTTATAGTATGCTAATCCAATCACAATGTGTTTGCACCCTATCAATAAAGACATTGGTAGAGAGGAGCAATGAAGTTAAAGTGCTGTGCAGGGGCTTGATTCCAACACATCGGCAGTTCCACTCAGAGGACAAAACCACTCGACCCTTGGGCCTCTCTATCTCCAAACAACATATAATAGACATGGTGTGCACTTTAGAAATTGTGGGTTATTTTAGTTGAAAAGGAATAATTGATGGAGCTAAAATTGTATTACTGCCATTTTATTACCAAGACAGTATTAACTTATTCAGTAATTTACTTAAAGGTAATACAAAGTTTTGGTAATGGTGATGAATTTGGTTCAAATGAACATATTGGAAGCATATGCGATCCTACAATATTCAGTGATCGTCGTCGTGGTCGACATCGAGTCTAAAGTTATGAAATTGTAAATAATAAACACTTTATGTTGTATAGCTCCCTCTCAAGGTCGAGATATTAATTAAGCTATAAAACATTGTTTCTTGACAATAATCGACCGATTAGCAATTCCCGTTCGGAAATTATATATCACAACTACATATTCTGAGATTTTCATGGTCGCAGCTACCATTGAACGGCCGCAGGCGCTATTTTGAAATTCATCAAAATTTACCTGGGGAGCACCAGTGAATCTTTATATTCAATTGTTCTCGAAAGCAGAAGTGTTTTAGGGGATAAATTATCTAGTGCTTTTAATACATCCACAGGGGCATCCATTTATATCAAAATTGTAAAGAATCACTATCCATCCATTTTTCAATATTTCCCAAAACTTTGTAATACCTTTAAAGAGAAGGTTGAGTTCTTGGAAGAGGTGAAAAATAATTTGTGAGCGTTATCATTGTTATTATGCTAGTCTGGAAGAGCATCAGATAAAACATGTTCCTTGAAAAGCATGGCTCTTCAAATGCTTTCATATTCTAAATATGGCATTTAACAGTATAAAAATGGGACATATTTTTATGCCACATGTTCGTGCAGTCCCATATACATCTTTCTGTGTACAGTGTTTGTAACTTTACCAAGACTGGGCCAAATTTCTTATCATTTTGATGATTCCAGAACCTTGCAGTACACACCAATACTCATATGCTAGATTTTCTGATCGACCCCACACCGTTTCTTTCGCAATGCAATCGCATGACCAGAACTCAACTTTATCTTTAAACCTGATGCAACGGCTAAGTCCTGTTCTACAAAGGGAAATTTACACCTCGGTCTAGCATCTTTCATTCAAATCATCTGTAGATGGAGCCTCAGTATTGGAACTTAAATTCTTATTCAAATGGAGTACAGACCATATGGTTTCAGAACCAATGAGAGGACACCAGAAAATGAAGTTTAAAAAAAAAATTATTCAACATTTTACAGCATTGAATAATAGTCATGGGTCATTTTCCTCATGACCGAAACAATTTCTTTTTAATCATTTTTTAAAATCATTTTTGTCTGTACTTATGCTTTATTTTTCATGTTGAAAATGGCGATATCTCATGCAATTGACTTTGCATGTACAATTGACTTACGGTAAGTGGCCTTGGTGAAATAGCAACTGTTGCTGTCATGTACATTCTAATTTCAAGGTGGAATGACAAAACACTTGATATAACTCTATAAATTTATAATCTTTTGTCTCATATTAATAAAAATGGACCAAGTTAAAGCTGGTTCAATTTGTCTCATGAAAGTTCATATTTGAAAATTGATATGCTTAACATGTGTTAGTGGGCTCTTGTCAAGTCACATGTAAAATAAACAAATAATAGTGATTTCCGTTTCAGAAAAAGTACAAATATTTTAAATAAACAGTGCAACCTATTCAAGTTATTTGTCTATGGAATCAAGATTTTAAACTTGATTCTGAGATATTGTTGATAGTTTTTACTTTTGAGGTGGCGGGACATACAAGTATAATGGCTTTTAATTGACGTGGGTGTCAGGCGGTCAGTTTCCTTGGACCACTTTACTTTGAAAATTCTACTTAAATTATAATTTGAACCTTGATTTAAAGACTGTATTATGTTAATATGCATCATCATATTTGGGTCCAATTCAGTAAATGCATTGTAGTTTATTGCATGACATTTTATGAATCATTACAAGATTAGCAGTGCATACTAAATAATCATGTGTACTTGCCATGTGCAAAAAGGTGCTGGCAAGATGAATAAAACATTCATATTTAATTATATTTGCATTATAATTGCACAGTGTTAATTAGATTATGAAATGAAATGACCAAAGGAAACAATCCACTTTAATGAGGGCATATCATGTAAATAATAAATATTGCAATAAACTCAGGGTATGCGTGTGTGAATTATGATATATTGTAAACAGGCGCGTACACAGGGGGGGTGTTTGGGGGGTTAAACCCCCCACCCCTTTGGTAATTTTTTGTGTGTAAACCCCCCCTAAATTTCTCTAAAACCCCCCCCCCCCCCCCCCTTTTGGATCTTTTTTTTTTTTTTTTTTTTTTTTTTTTTTTTTATTAAAACAAAAACAAAAACAAAAACAAAAACAAAAAGTCCCATGGTTGACCTAAAAAAGCTGACCTTACCCCCCCCCCAACGGAGCAAAATGTCAAATTTTCAAACTTCAAGACCCCCCCCCAAAAAAAAAATGTGTCCTCTTACCCCCCCCCCCCCCCCCCCCCCCCCCCGCTTATTCAGCGGCTGGCTGAGTCGTTGCGAAATTTTCGGCCCGATTTATAAATGTTAAAACCCCCCCTTGAAAAAATCCTGCGTACGCGCCTGATTGTAAATATATGAATTATTTGATTGCTTGCTCGTTTGCTAACTGCCCTGTCTGTTAAACAGACATTGAAATGGGCAATTAAGGCTTGTACCATACTTTGAAATTAATTACTTGGAAATTTGTATTGTACTGGTCTGGTACATTGATTACCGTTCAACACATTAAACAAAAATTCCATGACATCTAAGAATGATATTCAAATTGTAATTATTTGATGTATTTGTGAGTTTAAATGGGAATTAAAAACTATGCAATGAAACAATTGTATTTACATTGAAAGTTGTTTAATGTTTACTGTGAATTATTGGCTGGCAAATCATGTGTGTGTGAATGAAGAAATGGTTTCAAAATCTTTGAAGTGAAGATTTTACTTAAAATCCTACCAAAAATGATATTGTTATGAATGAAAAATTATATTCTACAAACTGGTTTTATTTTTCAGTTCAGCAGAGTGATTTAAGACCATGTAGGCAGTGGAAATGAAATAGATGAATTACATTCAAAGGAAAGCTTATATAAGTCATAGATTGCAATACAATCAATTATATGCTAGTTTAGTGTCTGTCAGAGGAGTAACAGCTCTCTGAAAACTCAAAGTCTAGACCTTTGAAAATCTATAGTTGTCAACCTAAAAACTAGCTTACAACTGATGACTTTATCTTATGTGGGGTTTTGAGAATGACTGCAGTAATTGCAATTAAACTGCAATGTCGTCACCGTAACTACATGTACGAACCCCTGTTGACTCGTAATTCAGAGGTGTGCGGAAAATTAGGTTTTATTTTGCTTTTGTGCAATACTAAAAGGAAATAAGTAATTCGTTTTTCTTATATTTTATTTGTATTGTACGTTCATTCAGTCTTCCATTGATATAAAGTTGTATTTTCATCGGATAGGGTCTTTCAAAGCTAGCACACTTTAGACCCCTGATATATGCAGTGCCATATGTCACCCCTTCAAAATAGGTGATAGCAATCTCTTCATTCTTTGAACAGGAGGAAGAGGTTACACTTGGCAATCCTTACATCAGCGGACAAACAGACCCACATAGTCAACATTTAGATCTGGAATGTGCTATACTTTTTTTTTATACTTCTTTCAAAAAAACTGGATTTTGTATTTTTGTCATTGTAGGATGAAAGATAAACAAATACAGTTCGAGTGAAAACTCTGAATGAAATGTTAGTGTATAGTTTAAAATAAAGACAATTTACCCGTGGACAATCACTCCTGAAAACAACCCCCTTAAAGACGTTAACCCTCAGATATCTATCTTGGATGAAAAACTTCGAGATCGGGTGTAGATGACTAGGGGATCATTGCCATGGGGAGAAGGTGTAATATATGTTAGGGAGTAGGGGGTAGTTGTTGTATTAAGCCAATTTGATATACAGAAAATAATGACAATTGAAACATACCACACTTCTTTGTATAATAATTCATTTTTTATTGCCTTCATTCTATAACAAATTAAAAGACAAATTAAAAAAGTGTGCACATTACACACAATCCTATGTGCTTTTTTTTCTCTTTGACAAATATGAAAACATGCTCACTAGTTTTTTTAATACTCCTCTAGCAGTGATACAACTTTATAATAGATTTTTATATAAGTTCAGCCATTTTTTGACACAACAAAGCTCAGGCCTTGAGACTCAGAACATAA